AAACATACCATACAAATCACCCTCTAAAAGGACTTTCTACCCCAAATGGCTTCTTTCCACGTTCGATCAAATAGTTTCCCATCTCAGTCACACCCGACTGCGAAAGACATTGAAGATCGTTTGGAGAGGCTAAAGGCCTCACAAGCCACGTCAACATCTTCCATTTGCACAAACTTAGCTAGCATTAGAGATTTACATAAAGGCATCAATAATATGATCCAGACGCCTTCAATCCAACAAGAGCTTGCCAATGTACAAAATGAAAATTGGACAAATGAGTTGCTCGAGGGATCTCTAAGGCTAGTCGATCTCTGTGGGTTTTCAAGAGATGTTTTATGTTTGACCAAGGAATCCATTCAAGAGCTTCAATCCGCCATTAGAAGACAAGCGGACGATTTCAATTCTTACGCGGCATCCAGAAAGAAAGTCAACAAAATGGTCAACAAATGCATCAAGAACATGAAGACCTCCAACCAAAATTCCTCACCAATTTCCCCCATTGGGAAAATACTAAAAGAGGCAGAGTCAATTGACCTCTCAATTCTCAAGTCTCTATTGGTAGTCTTATCCGGGCAAAAGGATACAGAAAGCAAGAAAAGTTGGTCGACATTGCTTTCCAAGTTCACACAAAGTACAAGCCGTGTACATTCTGAGGTCGACCGAGAAAGTGGTGACATGGATCTTTGTTCTTTGAGCATTCACAAATCAATGAAGAACATGGACAGCAAAACCATGTTGATGCAGTTAAGAGCATCTGAAATGATCATTCAAGAAATTGAAGAGTGTGTAGAAGCCTTATTTAGAAGCTTGGTCAGGACTAGAGTTTCCCTTCTTAATGCTATAAGCCATTAGCTCGTTTGAGCTACCCTTGTAATCTTAATGGCAGCCATACATGTCATATGTAAAACTAAATTACATAGAAAAAAATGGATAATGATACTCAACTTTCTGCTAAATTTTATCATTTTTTGCATAAAGCCTTTGCTTTATAGATCTTTTGCTTTGCTTATATTACTGGTGAATGATAACTTTTAAGGAGTTCAAGTTTCACTCAGAAATAATGATGGTGAATTTTTACTGCTTAATAATGATAGTTTGATCTATCTATCTATCTATCTATCTATCTATCTATATCTATCTATATCTATCTATCTATCTATCTATCTATATCTATCTATCTATATTATTATAAAAGGACGAGTGATTTTGTAAAAATATTGAACTGTCTAAAACAACCTTACTTTGACATCTTTTTAATGGCAAATTAGTAATATAGTAATACTCATCTTATTTTATATTCTTAATTAACAAATGAACTACCTAATACCCTTATTTTCACATATTATTAATGTCAAAATAGTAATCTATCATTATATAAAAAGAATAACCTTTTTACAAATATAGAAATATTTTCCCGCCAAAATCATTAAATATATTCTATATATAGTAATTGTTGGACAAATCTGAATAGGCAAAAAAATCGGTTCATTAATTTGTTTCTCTTTTGCAAAAAAAACGGTTTAAGATTTGTTTCTCTTTTTTCTGTTTTTTAGTTTATCAAAATCGTTGTTTGACAATAAATATTTATTTTTCTTTTTTCTATTTTTAGTATAAATCTACACTAGCTTATCTCTTCTGTTGTAAAATCCCATTGCATACGAATCTCATCCCTTATCTATACAGATTTGAAAAAATAAAATAAAATAGAAACCAATTCATAATTACTACTAGAAATCCATTATCTACTTTAATAAGCTAATTTTCATCGGTCTAATTACTAATATTTTTACAAATATTATAAGTTAACAATACAAAAAAGTATAATAATAATTTTAAAATGGTGTGTAATCAAATTTTTTTATATTCTCTTATACAAAATAATTTTACATTGTTTGACCCCGAATCTATAATTTATAATTATTAAGTATTGTTTATCCTCCTCTTTAATTTATAATTATTTTTTTCTTCCTCTTTTTAAATAGGATTAATAATAGTTTTCACTTTCGTCATGGAGTGACTCTAACTTGAGATCTATTTATAATATTGTTAATTTAATATTATTCCCGTGCATCGCACGGGGTATACACTAGTACAATAATATCCATCTTATCTTATATTTTTAATTAATGACCAATATTTAATTAATTAAATACAAATACATGAACAAAACATTCTACATCTCCTAAAAATCAACTATTATTTTAATATATTTTTAATGACAAATTAGTAATGCAGTAATACTCATCTTTATTTTATGATTTTAATTAAAAATAAACTACCTAAAATAAATAACTAATATTTAATTAATTAAATACAAACTGGTACTGAAGGCGCGATGGAATTGGTACTGAAGAAAACACTACTAATACACTTCATTGGAATAAGAAATTGCATGTAATACTCATACATATGAACTCGACACACTAATGAGAAAACACTACTAATGAAAAGACATAGATAATAAAATATTTTTTACGATTGCATGAAAGACACCAATTGATGGTGTCAGTAATAAAAATTTCATAATAAAAAATTGCACCTTAGTTTTATTGGATTGAATTTAAATCCCACAAAAATCGTCATTTATTTGTTTGTTGGTTTGTATTTTCAAATGTTGGTCGCAAAGCCAATAACGTTAACTAATCTTTACATGACCATTACGTGATTAATATCAAATTGGGTAATATTTTAATTATTAACACTTAAAATATTTGAAGTTTTCTGTTCAATTATTAACAAAAAAAAATGATCTGCCTAAAAAACCCTTACTTTGACATATTTTTAATGGCAAATTAGTAATACTGTAATATCCATCTTATTTTATATTTTTAATTAACAAATGAACTACCTAAAAAACCCTTACTTTGACTTATTTTTAATTGCAAATTAGTAATACACTAATACTCATCATATCTTATATTTTTAATCAATAATTAATATTTAGTTAAATAAATATAAATTCACGACTCATCATATCTTATATTTTTAATCAATAATTAATATTTAGTTAAATAAATATAGATTCACGAACAAAACATTCTAGATCTCTTAAAAATCAACCTCAACGTTCTCATACCATTATTCCTCACGAATTTGTTTCTTTGACATATTTGTCGAAATGCTTCTTTCATATCTCCATAAAATCAACCCAGCTGTGGAAAGATATATAATTGATATTTTGAAAACATTTGGACTAAATATAATAAAACATTTGGACTAAATATTACATAAGATTATTTTGTAGATATTATTTACAAGAACCAATTTGTTTTGGTGGACTTATGTGGAATAGTTATTTTTTTTCCAATAGCTACTTAGCTAAGAGAATCATAACGATTTCTTCAAAGACCACCTCAGTCTCCATCATTTTTAGTAAAATTTAGAATTATTTGAGTCATACTTTGGGCGTGTATCGTAATAGTTTTCAATGTTACGCCGTTATTTATTTAATTAAATATTAGTGAAGTGATTACCAAAAAAAAAATAAGATTTGAAGAGTATTAGTGTATTACTAATTTGCCATTAAAATTAAGTCAAAGTAAGGGTTTTTTAGGTAGTTCATTTGTTAATTAAAAATATAAAATAAGATGGATATTACTGTATTACTAATTTGCCATTAAAAATATGTCAAAGTAAGGGTTTTTTTAGGCAAATCATTATTTTTACAAAATCACTCGTCCTTTTATAATAGTATAGATAGATAGATAGATAGATAGATAGATATAGATATAGATATAGATAGATAGATAGATATAGATAGATATAGATATAGATAGATAGATAGATAGATTATAGAATTCAGAGTTGTACAGAGATGGTATGCGTATTTCCAAAAATTAGCTCAAAAGCCAAAAAAAATCTAAAGGCTGAGAGCATTAAGGAGAGAGACTCTAGTTTTCACTAAACATCTAAACAAGGAATCCAAGCACTCTTCAATTTCTTGAATGGTCATTTCCGATGCTTTTAACTGCTTCAACAAGATATTACTGTCCATATTTTTCAGTGACTTGTTGATGTTCAACACACAAAGATCCTCAGCTTCACTTTCTTGCTTCATATGAGAATATACTCGTCTGGTTTGAGAAGTCATCTTTGAAAGCATTGCCGACCATCTTTTCTCGCCTGATGACTCTCTTTTCCCAGACAAGACTATCAATACAGACTTAAGGATTGATAAATCAAGGGACTCTGCTTCTTTTAGCATAGTCCCAATGGGTGAGAGTAATGTTGTGTTTTTGTTTGAGGTCTTCAAGTTCTTCTTGATGCACTTGTTGATCATCTTGTTGATCTTTTTTCTTGATTCCACATAATCACTAACATCATCTGATGTGGCTGTCTCAATTTTGTTCCTCCTGAGGCAGGACTCAAGATCTTGCACAGACTGCTTTGTTAGTTGGACAATGTCTCTAGAAACACCACAAAGGTCGACTAGCTTTAGAGATCCCTCGAGCAACTCGTTTATCCAATTTTGACCTTGTTCACAAGCGAGCTCATGTTGGATAGAAGGCATCTGGATCATATTATTGATGCCAACATATAAGTCTTTAAGGCTAGCCAAGTTTGCACAGATTGAAGAAGTTGATGCAGCTTGCGAGGACTTTAGCCTCTCCAAATGATCTTCAACATTGTTTACTTTTGGGTGTGATTGAGATGGGAAACTGTTTGATCGAATGTGGAAAGAAGCCATTGGTTTTTTTCTATCAAAATGAACTTTCTGTTTAGAGCTCAGTGTATTTTTTGAAATGGAGAAAATATGTTGAGGTTGAGACCATCTTCTTGACACAACCTTTTTCTATAGGCATTTAGATGGAAGTTGTAGAAAACAAAAGGAATCATCTTTACTGTAAATTGAAATAAAAATATTATGGTGGATGTGTTGCATGTTCCCTGAGTCTTTAACAATTGAAATTTTTTAAAACTCAATCATATAATTGAAGTATGAGGAATCTTGACATCCATTTTCTAATTTTGTGTTATTTGTGCACTATGGCTCATTGATGAGGCTATGTCAGAACTGTTTCATGACAACAAAATCTGGAAATTACTAGATTGATTGTAATAGGCTTGGAGGCTCCTGACGTGGAGACAGTGTCCAAAATAAATATTAAGTCGCACACGAGTATATGACTAGACATGTTTTGATGCTTGCACTGTATTCTGTTCATTAGAAAACAGAGATCATGAGCTAGAAATACACCACGTTTATGGAAGTCCATATATTTAAATAAAATTAATGGCCGTCAAGATTCCTTATGTTTCAAGATTAAAAGTTCATGAAAATTGCAAACTTATCTTGTTTAAGCCAACGTCAGGCAATATGAAATTAAAGTTGGAAATAAAATATAAGTTGTGTTGGGTTTTGGTTTGTGATATAATCAGGTCATCATATGAGTATTATAAAGGCTGGCATGTTTGTGATCTTTAGACGGCATGACAATGCTTTTAGGAAGAGTATGATTAAGAAACATTATTGTTTTGATAATAATTTGACATTTCAGAGTAGTCACGGATGACCATCAAACAAATTCCCCCCTACAAAAAGTCTGTCAAGATTAATAATTTCAATCTAATTAATGATCATTTCCATCCATTAAATAGTCCATGATGAAGAACAAGTAGAGCTTTGACAGCCTAGCCTTGTATCATCAATTTTAATTTGANAAAAAAAAAAAAATCCAAACTGAAGAATGAGCACTTGAATTATGAAAGATAAATGACTCAAGAAAGAAATATAGCAAAAGAATTCCAAGAGAGGTTTTCTGCACAAAAGGTTTCTCGAAAACTGATCACCTTTATACTTTTCAATGCTTATATAACAAAGTATACAATATGTATGGTTGTGGACTTGTGGTCCATTAGTCAAAATATACTAGAATCCAAAGTAGTCTAATGGCTAAGAAGATTAAGAAGAGAAACTCTAGTTCTGACTAAACTTCTAAACAATGCCCCAAGGCACTCTTCAATTTCCTTGATGCTCATTTCTGATTCGCTTAACTCCTTCAACATGGTTTTTCTGTCCATACTTTTTGGTGACTTGTGGATTTTCAATGCGCAAAGTTCGTCAGTTTCGTTCGACTTTGTAAGAAACATCGACCACCTTTTCTTGCTTGATGTTTCCTTTTGCCCGGACACAAGGATCAAGACAGACTTTAGGATTGATAAATTAAGTGATTCTGCTTCTTTTAATAGTTTTCCAATGTGTGGGAGTTCTGAAAGAGTTTGGTTAGAGTTCTTCAGATTCTTGATGCATTTGTTGACCATCCTGTTAACTTTCTTTCTTGAAGCCACATAAGCATTGACAGCATCTGCTTGTCTCCTGACAGAGGATTCAAGCTCTTGAACTGATTCCTTAGTTAACACCACAATATCTCTTGAAATACTGCAAAGATCAACGAGCTTCAGAGAACCGTTGACTAGCTCGTTAATCCAACTTTGACCCTGTTCACGAACGAGGGTCTGCTGGACTGTCGGCATTTGGATCATATTATTGATGTCATCATATAAATCTTTAAGGCTGGCCAAGTTTGCACAGATTGAAGATGTTGACGTGGCTTTTGAGGCCTTTAGCCTTTCCAATTTATTTTGGATATCATTGATTATGGGATGAGATTGGGATGGGAAACTGTTTGATCGAGAATGTAAGGAAGCCATTTTGGTTAGAAACTCTGTTGAGAGATGAATGTATAGTATTATGTGTTATTTTGAGAGAAGATATTCAATCAAGTGCTTGAAGCCATCTGCTTGTTATCAGCCATATATATATTGGAAGATGGATGTACAAGATATAATTGGTATATATTATATAAAAAAAAAAAAAAGAGAAAAAAAAATGAAAAAAAAAAATCGAAACAAATCATTCAAATCTCAGCTACATGATCTTGAAACATGATGAATATTGACAGCTATATATGCAGTTTAGAAATCCTTNATAACAAACAATCACCATTTGTGAATTGTGACATTGTTTACCTCCACAACATGGACTACTTTAATCTGAATTGGAGCTGGTGACGCAAAATACAGCAAAAATGAGTTTTTTGTCCACACTCGTGTGCACATCTCTTCATTGTCTGAAGATAGCAAAAGCTCCAGCCTAGGGAAATTAATCTTTTAATCGCACGCCTTGTGCAGTATTGATCAAATATGAATAATAGAGGAGGAGCAAAACAATTATGTCAAAACAAAATCCATTATTTTGAATTGACATGAAAAAGTGATCATCGCCTGTGATGCTTAATAATTTAAATAATCACTATTCAAAGAGGATGAAAACAAATTGAAGAGTGAGAAAAATTATCTAAAAACTATCTAAGCCAGTCGAGTGTCTTTTCAAACCAATATATACATCGACCAAATGCAGAAGGCCGGCGTGCGAATAAAAGATTAATTTTCCTAGGTTGGAGCTTTTGTTTGCTATCATTAGACAATGAAGAGAATAAAATGAAGTGGCACACGAGTAGACAGAAAAAAAAAAAAAAAAAAAAAAAGGTTTTGCTGGATTCTGCGTCACCAGCCTGAATTCTGATTAAAATAGTCCATGTTGTGGAGGTAAAGAAATATTTGATACACCACTAATTTGGCTCATGGAAAATTGTGATTGTTTTTTGCAAAACCGCGCAGACGAATCTAGACGAATCTATCTATCTATCTATACTACTCTAAAAGGACGAGTGTTTTTGTAAAAATATGAACTACCTAAAATAACCTTACTTTGACATATTTTTAATGGCAAATTAGTAATACAGTAATACATATTTTAATTTATATTTTTAATTAAAAAAATGAACTACCTAAAAAATCCTTACTTTAACATGTTTTTAATGGCAAATTAGTAATACACTAATACCTAACATATCTTATAATTTTAATTAATAACTAATGCTTAATTACTTAAATACAAATACATGAACAATACATTTCACATCTCCTAAAAATCAAACACAATATTCACGCACCATTATTTCTCACGAAATTGCTATCTTCCACATATCTCTAAAAAATCAACCTAACATCAACCTAAACAATAAAGTTTTGAAAAGATATAAAATTGTTATTTTAAAAAAAAATCCTTGTTTTTAATATAATTTTATACATTATCTGACAAACTAGAAAAGTTGAACAATTCATTTAACTACTTCATTATTTAAGAAAAGTAAAATCTTATATTTAGAATTAGAATAGAAATTTCACTTTAGTCATACTGGATGGAATTTTGATCCCACAAAAATCTTCATTTGTTTGTTTGTTTGTTTTTTCCATTTTTAGTTACAAAGTGAATAAATTAACGAATTTTCACTTGACCATTAAACGGTTAATATCAAGGTGAGTAATATTTTAATTATTAACACTTAATATATATGAATTTTACTTTCAATAATTAAGTAAAATATCATGAGATTTTAATTATTATTATTTTTATATGAGCCACTGATTTTAAAGATGTGTGCTAAATAAAAGAATGATTTGAAAGTAAAAAAAAATTAATAAATCTGATGAATAACATTAAAAATATAATTAAGGTGTAAGGCTTGCCAATAAATATGAAAACAAATAATAAATAAAAATTTTATAATTAATAAAATTAAACATAAAACTTTTAAAACTTATATTTATCGATGTAAATGAATCGAATTGTTTATTTATTTTTATTTTTTTGTGCTTATTAGTTCTATGTGTAACTTTTAGGTGATAGATAATAGTTATTTGTAATTTTATCCATGTAGGTTGGAAATTTTAATATTTAAAAAGATGATTATTTTAATTTTAAATAAATTTTTATTTGCTATTAGTTTTTTTAATATAATATATAAATATCATATTACAATATAAAATAATAATTATTTTCGTTATTTAATATTAATACGTAAAAAGGTTGTAATTCAATTGAGAAATTAATAGGTAATCTTGAATTAAAATAACGAGTGATTTCTAAAAAGTTATATAGACTAAATAGTTCATGTGTTTAATATATTTTTAATAAAAAAAATTGTAAACGCAATCAATTAATAGAAAAACTACAACATAAAAATTTTAATATTTAAAAAGGAATGCAAAAAATAAAATGTTATGTTGCAATGAAAAATCCAACGATAAGATGTTCCACTAAAAATTCTAAAGGATATTTCATTTGCATAGCTTTCATTTGAAAATAATATTGGCTATTCCAACATAGATCAAATTATATTATAATGGAATTTTAATGGATTTAATGATTCGAGTTACCATTATTTATTTCTTGTGTGAATTTTCTTTTTGGGAACATATCAATGAAAGTTGCATTGGAAAGCTAATTGCAGTGATAGATACAGAAAATTTCATATTGGGGGCACTATTTAGGTAATAGAAATAATATATCATCAAAATAACATAATGTCAATACAATATTTGAATTTTACTTTTCAAAATTTGTCATCTTTCTCATCTGTAATACATGTTTACAAATCTTTACAGTTACAATAAGTTAAAAGTATTCAAAAAAAATATAATTTTTCTCAACTAAAAGTAAATTGAAAAAAATATATCTTTTAAAATCTGATGAACAAAAAATTTATGTTGTAGTATAGATGACTCGACAATTTTGTTGATGAATTTATAAATTATGACTAATTGATTATAATATTAATGAAAAAATTGTAATTGTATATAATATGATATTAAGATATATAAATAGATTATATATTAACACATATGACCAAAATAATATATTCTTTAAAAATCTTATGAACAAAAAATCTATGTGGTAGTATAGTTGACTCGACAATATTGTTAATTAATTTATAAATTATGAATAATTGATTATAATATTAAAGAAAAAACTGTAATTGTATATAATATAATATTAAGATATACAAATAATTGATATATTAACACATATGACCGAAAAAGTTCTATACATAATATTATGAATTTTTAAGCAAATACAAAATTTAAAAACATATGAAAGAACAATATAAATAAAAAAAAATATTAAATCTGACAAATGATATTAAAAAATACTAAGTTGTAATACGTACTAATAAATATTAAAAAATAATAAATAAATATGTTATAATTAATAAAAGTAAACATAAACCTTTTAAAACTTATATTTATCAATGTAAACGAGCAGGGTTGTTAAATGCTTGTTAATTTTTGTACTTATTAATTCTATATGTAACTTTTAGGTGATATACAATAGTTATTTTTACCTTTATCCATGTAGGTTAGGAAAAAAAAACACTTGATTATTCTAATTTTAAATTACTATTTATTTGCTATTAGCTTTTTACATATAATATATATAATATATATATATATCATATTAAATATATAAATAATAATTATTTTAATTATTTAACATTTAATATGTAATAAATGTAACTCAATTGGGAATTTATTAGGTAATCTTCAGATAAAATAATGAGTTACTTTAAAAAAATTATATGGATTAAAAAGTTCATGTGTTTAATGTATGTTACTAGAAAAATTGTAAACACAGTTACTCAATAACTACTACCTAAAATATAATGTTTAAGAAGGAATACAAAAAAAATTTGGTATATTGCAATGAAAAATGCATCTGTAAGATATTCCAAAGAAAATTTCAACGGATATTTCATTGGTAAAGTTTTTATTGGAAAATTTCATTAACTATTCCAACAGATAACAAATTAAATTTCATTGAAAATTTTGTGAATTAAATCATTCCAATTACTATAATTTATTATTGTTGGAATCTCTGTTGAATTTTTTTACGGATCGTATTTCAACCTTTGAAAAAACTGTCACTGAAATTGTAAAAAAATTAATAGAAGTCCCATTGGAAAACTAATTGCAGTGATGGATCCAAAATATTTTATATTGGGCACTATATAGTTAATAGAAAAAGTATACCATCAAAATAACATAATGCCATTACAATTTATAAATTATACTTTACATAATTTGTCATGTTTCTAACTTGTAATACATTCTAACTCATCAGTACAGTCACAATAAGTTAAAAAGTATTTAATAAAAAAAATGATGATTTTTCTCAATTCAACATAAGAAAATCATTGAAAATAATATTTTTTTAAAAAAATTATAAACAAAAAATCTATGTTGTAGTATAGCTGACTCGGCAATATAATTGATTAATTTATAAATTACGAATATATAACTAGAATTCCTCTTGCATTAGTTATAAAAGACATAAAAATATATTTTGAAGATATAGAAAAAAATATGTTGCAAAAGAGAGATTTGAAACTGTCATCAAGATTGAAATAATATAATTAGAGGATAAAATTGTAATTTTGAGATATATTATATTTTCTTTAGTTGAGATGCCGCGTTTATGTTATAACATTAATAAAGTTATGAGTTGAATTAAATTATAATTGGTTGAGTTGTGAATTACTTCATTATGTATCTTTCTTTCTTTCAATTTCATTTTTAAAATAGGGGACATGATAAAAATTATGAAAAAATGTTCCCACAAATTTTTATTAGATTCCTTACGCTATATGCTTTAGAATGGAGGGTTGTGTCGGATCTATAAAATAAACATAAATCTGCTCGTGATTCCAATAAAATATTTTTGCTAGAATTAGATTCTTTGTGGCATATTTTTCTTACATAGATCCGAAAATTCATACTAAGAAAAAACAAAAAATGGATGTAAATATACA